ATATATATTAATAAAAATATTTTAAATTTACAAAATATTTTTGAAAAAAAAGCGATATAATGAAATTATTATTATTTTCTTTATATATTTATTTTCCTTAGGGAAATTCGTGAAAACATAACAAAAGATGTGAAGGCATTGAAAGAAAAAATATCAAACTTTGTACCTAATTTAGCGATCGTTCAAGTAGGCGGTCGAGAAGATTCAAATGTTTATATAAGAATGAAAATAAAAGCAGCAAATGATATTGGAATTGTTGTAGATCATGTAAAATTACCAAACACTATCACAGAAATAGAATTAATAAACAAAGTGAATAAATTAAATCAAGATCCAAATATACATGGTATTATTGTACAAATGCCACTTGATTCTATCAATAAAATTAATTCAAATATGATTACTGATTTAGTATTACCCGAAAAAGATGTAGATGGGTAAGTTTTGTGAAATTTGTTATTATATATATTTTATAAATATAATATATATAATATACATATATTATTTCTCTATATTATTATATATATATATATCTTCTTAAATATAAAATAAATAAAAATATACAAGTAATAAAAATATATTTAATTGAATTGTTTTATAAAAATTAATTAGGAAATAATGTAACTCTAAAAATTTTATTTAAATTAATATAATGTAAAAATATATTAACATATAGAATTGACCTTTAACGTAAAATGTCTCAAATTAACTGATAAGAACGTAATCAAACATTTTTCGATTAATAGTTGCAAAGTTGATGATAATCATTTTTTATTTATTTTTTTATTGAAATATCTTGATATTTTTATTAAATTAAAATGACGCCTCTATTATTAGCATTATAGATTTAAAAGAATTTAAAAGATTTTAAAACATTAATTTTTATTTTATTAATTATTTTTAAAATAAATAATTAAGAATAAATTAAAGCATTTATAATCAAAATATTAAAATAAAATTCTATTATATTTCTAGATTGAATACAATCAATGAAGGAAGAGTAGCTATTGGTGATATGTCGGGATTTTTACCATGCACACCAAATGGATGTATTGAATTAATCAAAAAGTAATTGAAAATATTTTTACATTTTTCAGATAATAATATAATTTATTATTCTTAGAAAATTAATATGCAAAATAGGATATGCTAAAAAAGAAATAATTTTTAAAATGAATTAATTCTTAATTGAATATTTCGAATAATGAATAATTTGTATTTATATAAAATATATAACAAAATATATAATATATATATAATAATAATTAATATATAATAATTAAAATCATATTTTCCAGGAGCGGAGTACCAATTGCAGGAGCTCAAGCTGTAGTTTTAGGTAGAAGTAAAATCGTTGGTACACCTATATCTGAACTTTTGAAATGGCATAACGCAACTGTAACAGTGTGTCATTCAAAAACAAAAAATCTTCCACAAATTGTGAGTATAGTATTATTAAAACTATGACTGAAATATTATGAAATTACGTATAAAATATAAAATATCATAAAATAAATGTAATTATATTTATAATTAAAGGTCTCACAAGCTGATATCTTAGTGGTTGGTATAGGGCAACCTCAGATGGTTAAAGGAAATTGGATTAAACCGGGCGCAGTAGTAATTGATTGTGGAATCAATTCTATTCCAGGTAATCCTTTTATGTATTGTGTTTATCAATTTTTTGTTTTTAGTTCTTAAATTGCGCATTATCAATTTAACAATTAAAATAATTATTAAACTTAATGTTATGATTCTTCAACTGGAAAAACTGAAAAATATTAGTTTCATATCATTCGTTATCAGTATTTATGTTTATATACTCTTTCTTTCATTACATAAAACTAAAGTTTCGAAATAGTAAATATAATAAGACAAATAACAAACAAAAGATAAATGATCTATTAAATATTTTCAACTTGTTTAGCAAAATTTTACTTTTATCTTCTAATTTCAAGCTTACAAATTTTATTTTTAATTTTTTTTAATTTTCAATAGAATTCTAAAAAATATTTAGTGTAAAAAATAAAAAATTCATTATAAAAAAACATAATAAATTTATATAATAATAATCAATAATAGTATTATAATCTAAAGGATTTTTTTAGATTCTACAAAGAATAGTGGACAACGTTTAGTGGGCGATGTTGATTACGAAGAAGCTGTGAAAATAGCTTCATATATTACGCCTGTACCTGGAGGCGTTGGTCCAATGACTGTAGCTATGTTGATGAAAAATACAGTAATATCTGCACAAAGAGCAGCTGAAAAAATATTAAACAAAAAATGGAAACTGAGAATTTTAAAAATCAATCCTCAAAAACCGGTACCTAGCGACATAACAATTTCAAGAAATCAAGAACCTAAACCAATCACGACTTTAGCTGAAGAAATTGGTTTGCTCCCTAATGAAATTAGTCCTTATGGAAGTAAAAAAGCAAAGATTAGCTTGAATGTTTTAAAACGATTGAAACATCAACCAAATGGAAAACTCGTAGTAGTTGCTGGTATCACACCAACACCTTTCGGTGAAGGTAAAAGTACGACATCAGTAGGGTTAGTGCAAGCATTAACTGCACACAGAGGTAAAAATTCATTTGTAACTTTACGGCAACCTAGTCAAGGACCTACGTTTGGAGTGAAAGGTGGAGCTGCAGGTGGAGGATACTCGCAGGTATCATGTATTGAAATTATTATAAAAAATATTTCAAAGATATACAAGCTTAATATCAAAGATATACAATCATAATATCATTTACATAAATTATTAGAATATAAAAATTTAAAACTAAATTATGACATATTATACGAAACATTTCCTTGATTATATAAGTTTTTTATTATATTAAAATATGTTATTAAATGTAAAAAAAACATATATATTTAGGTCATTCCCATGGAAGAATTTAATTTACATTTAACTGGTGATATTCATGCTGTGACTGCAGCCAATAATTTATTAGCAGCACAAATTGATGCTCGATATTTTCATGAGTGTACTCAAACCGATGAGGCTCTTTATAATCGTCTTGTACCAACAATTAAAAATGAAAGAAAATTTTCAAAAATACAATTGAAACGTTTAAAAAAATTAGGTATTACAAAAACTGATCCAAATAGTTTAACTGAAGAAGAAAAAAGAAAATTTGCAAGATTAGATATCGATCCAGAAAATATCACTTGGACTCGAGGTAATATAAAAATTATCATGTCTAAAATTTATAAAAGAAATTTTCTTTATTAATAAAATATATTTATTTTAGTGGTTGATATAAATGATCGATTTTTACGCAAAATTACAATCGGTGAAAATCCAACTGAGAAAGGTAAAACACGACAAACATCATTTTGCATTTCTGTTGGTTCAGAAATAATGGCAATACTTGCATTATCAACTAGTGTTGATGATATGAAACAGAGACTTGGTAATATAGTAGTTGCTTTCAACAAAAATGGAGAACCCTTAACCGCCGAAGATTTTGTTAGTATATTAAATTATGAAATCGCAAATATTTTATTTTATTGCTTAGTAATATATTAAATATATATTTAGGGTATGACTGGAGCAATGGCAATTCTACTAAAAGATGCCATTGAACCGACACTTATGCAAACTTTAGAAGGAACACCAGTAATGGTTCATGCTGGACCATTTGCAAATATCGCACACGGTTGTAGTTCTATCATTGCGGATGCTATTGCATTAAAATTAGTTGGTCCCGAAGGTATCGTAGTAACCGAAGCTGGATTCGGTTCTGATATCGGAATGGAAAAATTCTTTAATATTAAATGTCGGGCATCTAAACATGTACCAAATGCTATTGTGCTCGTTGCAACTGTTAGAGCATTAAAAATGCATGGTGGTGGGCCTCCAGTAACAACTGGTGCTCCATTAAAAAAAGAATATCTCGAAGAAAATCTTGATTTAATTAAAAAAGGTCTTCCAAATCTTCAGAAGCACATTAGTAATGGAATTAAATTTGGCATTCCAGTAATTGTTGCCATTAACGTTCATGCGTAAGTTTTATAAAAAATATAACTCATAATTGAAGTAAACTATAACTTTTTAAACTACTATATAGAAGAAAATAAATTTAAAATTATTTTAGTACTGATACCCAATCTGAATTAGAATTAATAAAAAAAGCTGCAATAGAAAGTGGTGCAATTGATGCAATTATATGTAATCATTGGACAGAAGGTGGTGCAGGTGCTACAGCACTTGCAGATGCAGTTATAGCTGCCACAAATAAACATTATAATTTTAAAGTATTATATGACCTTAATATTAATATTGAAGAAAAAATAAATATCATTGCTAAAGAAATATATGGAGCTGGACAAGTTATTCTTGCAGACAAGGTAAACTTTCAATAAGTTTATAATATATATATATAATTTGCATAATTATGTATAAAATTAACAATTTTAACAAAATTAATGCAGGTTCAGAAAAAAATCGAAAAATATAATAAATTAGGTTATGATACATTACCTCTTTGCATGGCAAAAACATCAAACTCTTTAACTGGTGATCCATCCATTAAAGGTGCACCTATTGATTTCACACTTAATATTACTGATATATTTGTATCTGTAGGAGCAGGTTTTATAGTACCTATGGTAGGAGAGGTAAGTATTTTAAATTATAGAATTTTATATAATTTTATATAATTTATATATAATTTGTAATTATAATATTATTTTTCTAGATAATGATGATGCCAGGTCTATCTACAAGGCCAAGCATTTATGATATGGATTGGAATAATGAAACAAATGAAATAGAAGGCTTATTTTGAATATATTAAACATCAAATATTATAAATATTCTTATGATTTATAATACTATGTTATATATATTTAAATTACATAGTATTAATCATTACAATAATTTTAATTTCCTTCTACATGTGATAAATGTACATATATATATGAAACGCATACCTTCAGATACAATAAATATTGTTTTATATTAAAATTAAAATTAAAAAAATATATTTGAGATGAAAAATGTTTTATATTTATAAACTTTGATAATTTGATTAATAATTTGATTAATAATTAAATCACTTTAGCAAGTGCTCGTAATTTTGCAGAACGTGATCTTGGATTTTTATTTATTTCCTCTTGTGTAGGTGTTATTACATGTTTATGTAACATTTTCCATGGAATTCGATTGAAAGCTTTCATTTCAGTTAGAGTATAATATTTGCCATAGTCTGAAAATTTTAATGGTATTTTATTAGCTACAGTTTCTGTTATATTTGCAGACATATGTCTTTTAACAATAGTATCTTCCAAAGAATGAAAAGATATTGTTATTAAACGACCATTGGTTTTTAAATAAAATCCAGCAATAACAATACCATAATTAATCTCATTTAATTCATTATTTACAAAAATTCTTAATGCTTGAAATGTTTTTGTTGCACAATGAGTATATCTACCAAGTTGATCAAATCTTTTTTCTGAAATCACAGATTCAATGAGCTGAGCTAATTCTTGTGTAGTTTTTAAATTTCTAAAAGTATATCGAGTTTCTATAATGGCACGTGCAATTTTTTTAGCATATTTTTCATTACCATAAATCTTTAAAATAAAAGCTAAATCTTCTTCTGTTATTTCTTTTAAAACTTCAGCAGCTGTAGGTTCTTGTGGATATCTAAATCCATCCATTCTCATATCCAAAGGCCCACTTTTTGATAAAGAAAATCCTCTTTCACCAACATCAAGTTGCATAGATGAACAACCAAAATCAAATAAAAAACCATCTATGCTATTTACATTTACCTTATATTTACAAAGCAATTGTGGTAATTCAGAAAATCTTCCTAATAATGGTATTATTTGTTCAGGATATTTTTCTGATAATTTTAATGCATATTGATGTGCAATAGGATCTCTATCCAATGCAAATATTTTTATATTAGGAGAGGATTCCAGAATTTTCATAGAATGTCCACCAGCACCAAATGTCATATCCACAAAAATTTTTCCTGGTGATGGTTCTAAATAATGTAATACTTCATTAACCATTACTGGTATGTGAGATGTATTTTCAATATTATTATCATTTTCATTTACTATTTTACTATATTTTCTATTATTTTTTAAGTATATTATATCATTTTGTTTCCGAAATAAATAATATATATTTCTACTTAAATATTTCATGCCATAATATCTACGTATATGAATCATATCATTCATTTTTTTTAATAACATTCTTGAATAATCTTGAAAATGTACGTGAAAAGATTCCTTCTTGTTTTTCTTCAAAATATTGTAATGCTTCCGGTGTAAGAATTAAATTGCACTGTTCTTTTGTTAATCCACTAGCTGTACTTGGAAATTTTCGAATATAAATTTGTCCATAATGATTAGAACAAATTCTCTTTAAACTCGTATAATAACGATCACATTGTTCACGATTTATTTCACTAGCTTCACCCTTTGCAAATGCAAGTTTTATTTGGTCACGAATATGTTGAGCCAAATCTCTGAAATACATAAATTATTTTATAAATTATATTTCATATTAATTAATAATAATTATTATTAAACATAAAATTATTATTAAATTGATATAATAATGATATAATAATAATAAAATATATAATTAATTTCATACAATATAAAAACATTTAAAACGTTAAATTTAACCTCAATATTGATTATAAGCAAAATTAAAAAATATTAGCATAAATATGATTATATTTATAATAAAAATATTAAGATATAAAAAAATTTTAATTTGATTTATTTAATAAAATTACCTGCCAGGTTTTGTATTATCTAATGGCCAAGATTCCAATAATTTCATATAGTTTTTATATGTACCCATGATAATAGTATGTAAAAATACCAATTTACAAAACTTTAGTCACTAAGTCATTATTATTATTTCATAAGTCATTACAGTTACTATTTAATTTATTGTAATTTCTTTACACAGAATTTATTTATATATTAAAATAATATAATAGAAGTTAATATAATAGAAGTAATATTTAGCATAAAATTTCGTAAATAATATATTATTTAATCTTTTATAGGTTAAATAAGATATTTAAAAAAATATAAATTTCAAAAATCGAATAAGTTATTCTTTAAAAGAATTAAATTATTGTTTAAAAAAGGGTAGAAATAAAAATATTCAAATTCTGCATATAAATTATTTTAATACAATTTTCTACAAGCACATGTTTCACAATGTAATGCAAGATATAGCAATACTAATATCTAAAATTATACTTTTATGAATAAATATATGAATCCTTTAAATCATAAAATCCAGTTGAAATCCAAATACTTTGAAGATTTTTACTCATTTTGAAGATTTGTATCTTTATGTCTGTTTCTCTATATATTAAAATAAATATTATTAATATTAACAATAATATAAGCATACATTTATTGTAATAAAATTTAAAAGCTGATTTAATACTTACATAATTGGAAAGTCTGTTTTTTGATAATTGCTCATTATTTATATTTTTGGTTTCGCTTAAAAAATAAGATAAATTGTTTTGTGATTTTAAATTTGTACCATTATGTTGAATATCATCAGAAAATAAAACTGTTTGTTCTTGTTCATGTGGAGCTAAAGTTACTACATTGGTTGAAATATCAACAGTTTTATCTCCCTTCCACACTTCCAGTAATGTTTCAGAATTATAAAATGGATATAAGGTATAGACAAGTGACCATGGATGTTGATCAGAATATTCATAAGTATTAGTTTGACTTAGTACTTGACATCCACAAATAATTAAGCTGAATACTATCTGCTTAAAAAATATTTTTACTAACAAATAAATAAATAAATATATATATATATATATTTATGTATAATATATACAAAATATATAAAATATAAATATAAATTATAACTTACAATCAATGGGAAATGCATCTTGTTACTGTTTTCCAGTACTAACTCCTGCTTCTTAGAATGTGCTTGAATTTATAACAACTCTACCACTTTAAATACTCAATCAAATGAGAATTTACATTGAAAGATTATATGTATTGAATTTCAAAATCTAAGAGTCTTAGGATTATATTTTAATATTTATTTAAAACCAATTTCAAGGTTATTATATAAAAATATGTATATTACATAAAAAATATACATATATTATAAATACAATAATTATAAACACAATATTTTTATAAATATTCCTTTATTGATAGTATACACACAAAATCAACATATAAATAAAAATTTATTTCAAAAACTTTATCTTTCAACTGTCTCTATAGGTATTACATTGCAACCCAGAAGACCATTACCAATCCAAGGACGTGGAATTAAAGTCAAAGCAATGATATTAGATCCACGTTTAATTTTTATATTTATTGTCTTATATCTACTATTTTGTACCAGAGTTCCAATATCTTTTAATGATTTAAAATTCCGACAATCAATAGACCCAAATTCTAAGATAAGATCATCAACTTGGATTCCCTATACAATTTAACATTCAAAATAAATTATAAATAAATTATATTGTGAGTTTATAATCATTTATGGAAATTCAAAAAAATTCTTACTGCTATTTCTGCTGGAGAACCTGGAGATACTAAATTCACCTTTAAGAAAGGATCTAATTGTGCATTGTCTTGAATAATAGTTGCAGTTGTATTAGAACATTCTGCTTGATTTCCTGCTAAGGCATGCACTCTGTGCAAACCTTCTTCTATTTTATTCATCAATGCTTTATGATCATTTCTAAGACCTAATCACTTAATAATTTACTAATAAGTTAAAGTTAATAAAATTACATAGAGAAAATTGCATAGTAATTAAACGCACATATTATTTTATGTCTCACATGTCTCACTTGATAAACATCAATATCACTTCGTGGATACCCTTCACAGTCCACCAGCGGATCATCCATGCCGACATGATTCTACAATTTATATATGTAAATATTCAATAATTTTTTCGAAAATTTGACAGCTCATTCTATATATATTTATTCTGGATGATATAATTAAATAGACTTTTTGTGCAAGTCTAAAATATTAACATACATACAATATCTAAGATTTCTTTTAAAGCTTTCAAATCTGATTCAATTTTATCTTTATCTTTCATAAGTTGAAGAACATAATCTTTAGCTTCCTGTAACTCCATGTCGACCACCATTTTCACTACAGTGACGTACATAGTAAATCGTAAAACATGTACTACATATTAAATCATAATTAAAGAAATTATTTTTAAATTTCCAATGTATTTTAAAAATGTTGTGAAATTACATGCTTATACATATAAAAAATATATTTAATTGCTTAAAAATAATGTTATACATTAAAATTTTTTTAATTAATATTCATAAATATTTTTTATGTTTTATATACAATATTTATATATAAATATATGTAAGATAAAAGAGATATACATATGTTAATAGATATTAAGACATTTGCAATTTCAAAAACAAAGCTTTTAAATATCGCGCTTCATAAACAACTGTTTGCTTGCCTTGTGGAGTAATAGCAAGCATATCCTGCATATCAAAAGATTGTTCTACTATTGTTATTACATCTCTTCCATAAACTAATAAAATAAAAAATAATATAAATATTTTAACAATTGTGTACAAATATTATTGTTTATAAAAATAAAATATATACCTTCACAATGTTCTAAAAATTGTATACATTCCTGAAGAGTAGTATCTTTTAAAACTACTAATTGTTTAGCCAATTGTTCTAAAAGAGAAAGAAAACATCTTTTCGCATAAAACCAAGTATCTGTTCCCAATTTTTTATTGTAAGGTTCCAAACTTTTCATGACTCTAGATATACCAAACTCGTAATTTCCCTTAGAACAATATAATGTTCCAATTACTAAGTTTACTATGCATAAATGAAATAATTTTTTATCTTGATCTTCGCGTGAAACTATTTGCTCTTCTTTTTCTATTTTTTTCATTAATCCTTCAGCTTCCGCATTTTGCGATGTCATGATATAACTTACACATAAATTAGCGAGTACTATAGCGCTTACGTCTAGAATCTGAAATTTTTAATATTTAATAATTGAAATAACATATATATTCAGATCAAAATAAATTGAAGATGCAAATTAAAGATGAAACAACTAACATTATCATATTTTTTTCTAACAATTGGTTCATAAAATCCTGTTGCTTCTTTGAATTTATTTTCTTGCATAAAAAGAGTATGAGCTACATTTAATTTCCATATATCATGTTCATTGCAAAATTCTACGCTTTTTCTAAAAATTTTCTCAACTTGTATATAATTTCCAAGTTCCCAATAAATTTTAGCTTGTGCCATTAAAACCGGTACATATCTTTCTAAAGCTTCTTCATAATCATTTACAGCCTTTTTAACAGCACCGTCATCATGATTTAATCGTGCTTCCTGAACTCGTTTTGTTGCTTTTCGTAATATTTCCATGTGTTTATTACCAAGATCATCAAATTTGCGATATGCTTCTTCCGGTGAAGTTTGTTGTGTGATTAATGCATCCAAAAAGTCATATAAATACTGAGAAATAAATATTATTATAATTACAATAAAATTCTTTATATTTTATTTTTTTTAATTTTAATAAATTAAAATTTTTATTGAATAAAATATAAATTTATAAATGTATAAATTTCCATTTTTCACTATTTGCACCCTCAAATTAATTTGCTTACTACAGTCCTATATTTAATATCGTGAATAAACCTAACCTTCATATGAAATTTGATTGACGTTTGTTTATTTTCTGCTTACATATGTTAATCATATAATTTATAATAAAATAATCTTGTTAAGTTTTAAAAATGACTAATTGTGAATTAAATCAAATATTTCTTGGAGAAATTGCATCTGTACAAAATTATGGTGCTTTTATCAGAATCCCAGGTTGTTCTGTACAAGGATTAATACATAGATCACAAGTATTAAGAAAATATGTCCATAACAAATTATTTATATTTTATAATATTTATATTTTATGATGCAATTAATTTTAATTTTTATAATTCTAGATTAGTTGTGTTCATGTTGATAATGTTACAGAAGTTTTACAAAAAGGGGAACGTGTTTGGTGTAAAGTTATTTCTATTGGAGATGATAGAAAAATAGGATTATCTATGAAATATGTAAATCAGGGAAATGGTACAGATTTAGATCCAAATGGAGTACAATTACAAAGAGATATACAAAAGAAAAAGATTATTGAAAAGCATGAACGCAAAACTATACATTTAGAAGCAGTTCTTAATACTACATGTAAAAAGTGTGGAACTGCTGGTCATTTATCTAATGATTGTTTTATGAGTCCTGATGGAAAAAAGTATGAACTAATTCCAGAAATAGAAGAACAGAAAAAAGAAGAACAAAAAGATGTTCAAACAGAAACTAATATAAGTAAGAAAGAAAAAAAACATAAACAAAAGAAATTAAAAAAGAAAAAAAAATCTAAAAGAATCAGACAAGATATTCTTGATAGTGATTCTGATGAAAGTATAATTAAAAAAAAAAAGAAAAAATATTCTAAAGATCAGAAAAGAAAGAAAAAATATGACAGTTCTTCTAGTGATGAAAGTTCTAGTGATAGTGTTTCTAGTCATGATATGAAAGCTCATAAACGAAAGCATTCAGAAAATTTAGAAAAACATACTAAGAAATGTAAACATTCAAAAACTAAATATACTGATAAGTGAAAATATAAAATATAAAAGCTTTAAAATTCAAAATTATTTTTTGTGTTAATTTTATATTTTTTTAAATAATTAAAATATTTTTAATGCACAATTTGCAAAAGATATATATAACAATGTAATAATAAAAATCATACTTACTGGTGTTAAATATTTATAAGTCAAATGTACATTTTCAGCAAGAACATCAGCAGCTAAATCATAATATTGGTATTTACAATATAGTAACAATAAATTTGCAAAAGTTTCAGGTGGAAATGGATTTTGTTGTAATAAAAATTGAAGTTTCTCAAATCCCTCACTTGGCTTTGTATCCATATTTATTAAAGCTTGATTATGTAAAGTAACAGCATCAAGTTCTTCCTCAGATCTAGGAGGCATATCTGTTAATGCTTCTTTTGCTGATTCATCTGAATAAATAAAAAATATAAAATATATTAGATAAATTATGAGAAACTAAATTTACAATGTATAAATAATTACAATTTTGTAATTGATATTCTATAGCTGCTTTCAAGTTAAATGCTTCTGTTAAAGCAGTTTCATGAAGTGTTAATGTATTTCCAACACTGCGTACTTCTATACCTTCTGTTGTCATACCCACTCCTAATTCTGGATGTTCTCTTATTCCTTGCTCAATAATATCAGCTAAAATAATAAACTATTAAAATGTTATATATAAAATAAATATTATAAAGATTAATATAAATATTATCTTTACCAATATGTTTTAATGATGCAGCATATTCTTTTAATTTAAAGTAACAAAGTGCTACATTATATGATAAATGAGGCTTAAAACCTATAATTTGTAATGCATTTGCAAACTTTTTTAAAGCTTGTTCATATTGTTCTTCCTAAAAAGAAAAACAGATAAATATATACTTCATATATATACATTTCTTTAATATTTTCCATACCTTATATAAAAGACATCCTAAATTAATCTCTGTATCAATATCATCTATTGAACATTGATCAATTAAATTTTTTGCAGCAACAATATCTTCTTGTCCATATTTTATGGCTGCCTGTAGTTTCTTTACTTTATATTCTAAATTGCTTTGACTAATAATATTTGAACATATTGTCCAAGCTTCTTGATACATACATGCTTGATGCAAAGATTGAGCATGATATAATTTATATATACTTTCATTAGGACATAATTGAATTAATTTTTCATAGCAATGTGCAGAAGCTATAAAATCTTGTGTATAAAAATAACAATGAGCAAGAAGAGACAAACAGGGTCTGGACTGTAAAATAATTTATTATCATAAAATTATTTATTGATAAAAAAAATTTATATTTTATGTCATATAATCATACGTACAATGGGATAAAAGTCTAAAAGTGTAAGTAATATTTTTATTGTTTCTGTATATCGTTGTTCTTTAATCTGAAAAATCGATTTTTACATTAAAATATAATTTTTACATATATTTTTAAAATTAAGAAAAGATTTTTATATATATATATATACTATGTAAATATTAATATTTAATAATAATATTAATATAATTTAAAAAATTCTTTATAATAATTATAAATTAATTATATTTAAACATTAATTGATAAAATACTATAATTTGTAATATATAAATATATTCTACCATTAAATAAATAGTCTTTGTATATTCTCCATCTTTAATGTGCACATTTGGTATAAAAGTAGTCATTTTTTTAGAATAAGTTTCTTTCTGTTCATAAAATATAAAATATTTTGTTGAAATTTGAATTACTTAACTATACAATACATACAGTATGTAATGTTATGATACAAGAGGAATATCGTAACTATGGAAACATTGCTTTTTTATGAAGAGAAACAAAATTTCATATGTTTGATATGACAAAAATCTAACATTATTTATAACACGTTTTTTCTTAATAAATAAAATTTTAGAAATATTTGTTTTGAAGACACTTTATTACATTTTACATATACATTGAATTTATATTATATTACAATATCACATTATATAATCGCATTATATTTATTTGTCAAAATAATCTACCAAATTATCGTATAATTATTTCTATGCAATCTTACTTAGCATAAAATTATATTAATAATTTTTCATTTATATTGAATTTACTTCTTGTACAAATAATTGTTATTGAATAATATAATAAAAGAATATTTAAAACATAAATATACAATTAAAAAGTATTTTCTTGAATTACAAAATATAATGAATTATTTTTATGATTGCAAAAATATGATTATAAAGTGGCGCTCTCTTAAGGGTGATGAACAATCAAGATAGTAATTGTATACCTTACTTTTAAATGAATTTTCAAAGAAAGAACTCGATGCAGTGCGATTTGATATATCGATGCATAAGTGTACGTATGCGCAATTACATATATGTATAGTAAGAACTAATGGACATTAAGCATCGGTGTTTTGATCGTCGTTTCACCAATAGGTGTTTTGCAGATTCGATAACATATATGTAGTATGTAATCTAAAGACGAACGTACGTATAAGCACTGCAGTCTCAATAGCACGCTAGTACCATACGCAGATTGAGTGCGTGTGTGACTTCCCTCATTGGAGAAATGTCGTCGGCACTCGTGGCTGCTAAATAAACGACGAAACATGTCCGGACCGATAGTCAGTCGTGCGCAGACACCCGGCGGTGATGTTCAAATAGGTATAACGGTGGGTTGTGTTGTCTGTAATAGGACTGACAAGTTGTTAAGATGTTCACGGTGCAAGGCCGTCTTTTATTGTACTAAAGAACACCAGAAACGGGACTGGAAACGTCATAAAGAATTTTGTGCGATTCATTCTATGGAATCGATCGTATCAGATACAGTTTCGGCTACTAGTCAAAATTCCATTCTAAAATCTAATAAGAAGGAATCATGTTTAAAGAACTGCCAGATTTCAACTGCACCAGTGGTTTCTAACCTAAGCGAGAAATCAGTGTTAGGAAGAACGCGAGAATCAAACACTGTTCCAGATGTACATAATAACGTGAAACATCTTGAAGGTACATCAAACTAAATCTTGTTTTCGTCAGATTTTTTTTACAAAGCTTTTTAATATTAGAATATTCCTGTAAACATTTAATAATATATGTTTTATTCTACAAAAAATGGAATGATATTTTATCATTGTTATTTTTAATAATGAATAATTCATTATATACTGTAAATAGCATAAAATAAATATAACTTTCATTTTATCATAATTAAAGATTATATTATATGATTCTACTGTTTACAGGAATCAACAAACAGACAGAAAAAATAAAAGGACAATTAGATCATAAGGAAAGCCAAAATTCCAAAAGAAAATCTAATAACATTAAAACAAAAGGTACTCGTACTAACAGAGTAGATGGATGGACTTCTCCAATAACATATGAAGGAAGTTCTGAAGATACAATCTTAGGTGCCAGAACAGAATCATTGAATCCTGCTTTACAAGATTCAAGAATTCTTGATAATTTACAAGACAATGAATTAGATATGCCTACTCAACATCATAACGGTATGAAGAACTTTCCAGAGGTTCATTTAACTCGTGAAGAAGAACTTCTACCACCTTTTCTCCATAAAAATAAAAATAATCTTGAAAAATTAATAGACGATATAAGCAGAAATGTGATTAGAGACATGGATGAATATGGTATGTGTGTGGTAGATAATTTTCTAGGAACGGAAAAAGGTGGTGCAGTGTTAAAAGAAGTTTTAAATATGTACAGTGCTGGGTTATTTAAGGATGGACAATTGGTTTCTAATAAAGCAGGTGCAAATGACTTAAAGACAATTCGTGGTGATCAAATAACGTGGCTTGATGGTAAAGAAAAACAATGTCAAAATATTGGGATGCTTATATCTCAAGTTGATGCAGTCATTATGAGGGCAAATAAAATGTGTAATAATGGAAAAATGGGAAAGTACACAATCAATGGAAGGACAAAGGTAAGCATATATATTTTTGTTATTTGAAGTATATTTACATATTTTATATAATTGTTTATTTATTATTAATTATTACATATAAAGACATATTATATTTATTTAGTTTAATTTATTCTTTATATTTAATTTAATTTTATCAAGTTTATGTTTATTTCATTTGATTATATAATATAAATATATGATAAAGATTTATAAATTATAATTATAAATAATATAATTATATTTATAAATTAATAAGATTTATATTAACATCTCATTATTTAATATATTAAATTCTATTAATATATTATAATAATAAGGGAATTGGACTTAACAAAATTATATACATATATATATCTTTTTAATATATAATATATATATATATATATATATACACTAAAGATTGTATTAATTTTGTATGTTCTTTTTTATATTTTATTTTTATGCATGAAATAAGATATTAATTAATCTCAGAATATTTTTTGAATAAAAGTTTTTTTTTATTTATTTAATTTGATAAATTTATTTAATATTTGACAATTATGCGTAAAATACTAAATCGTCGAACGCATAATTGAATATTTATTAATTTGGAATAAACTCTAGTAATAGAATTGTTTTATGTTGAATATAATTAATAAAATATTTATTAGAATTAAATCATTTTCAATTGCAATAGTATGTAAATACGTACCTCTATATATTAATGGAATATTTCAGTAATTTAAAATATTTAAATAAATTCTAATAATCTATATATGAAAAATGAATTATTATTATAATAAAATTAGCCAATTATTCTTGAATATCGCTAAAAAATATGTATATATGTAAATATCGATAATATTGAAAAATCGATTTTTCGCGTAATATTTATAATCGAGTTATAATCGAGTTATAATCGAATGTTTATAATCAAATATTTATAATCGAATTTATAGTTGCAAATATGTTAGCTTTTTTGACTTGTTATAAAACTTCAAATGTATAAATAATTATAAATTATAAATAATAACGATGATATGCGTTGTGAAAAAAAGATTTCTCGTATCTCTCCAAGCATCGGTGTTTAATCTCGTAGGCGGTCAAAAGAGAGAGAGAAGTGATGGTAGGCAGAGAAGGTCAGGATCCCGAAATTGCAACGATCTTTCGGCTCAGGCGCCAAACTAAGAACCAAAACGAGAGTGGTAACCCACGAAGTGCAGTCGGTCACGTACGCCGTATAGCTGGCGCACTGTTAGTTATCTTTTTTTCCTTGTCTTTCACTGACTCTCCCTTTCGTCTCTTATACCAGAAAGTAGGCAGCATGTAAGTATTCTTCTCGATTACGTATCCTATCTCTCGTAAACAAATTCGTATATACCACGGATGAGTGAAACAGAGCGATGTGTTAGGAAAACTATTTATTTAGTATCAATGGTCAGTTGCAATTGAAAAGTGTAACTATTGAAAAAATTTTATTCATGTTGTATTGTATTTAATTCAAATATTTGATAATTTGCTAAATAAAGGATACAAACGAGTTATTTGTAAACTTAATCTTACAAAAGAAACAAAACGATAAAATTAGTTTTTTTTTTTACGATTATTAGTTATAAAGATTTTAAGGTTATCTTAACCTGTTTTTTATTCTAATAAAATTATGCAACTTAGTGAATTAATCTTAAAAAATAACTCTTAAAGATATTTTTAAAATAAATTATTTTAATTTAAATACACTCTTGAATAAATCTTTAAAAATATTACAAATATTGAATATATATATATACGTATATACATACATATTGTTTTTTCAAAATATGACAGTGGTTTTCATTTTTTTCATTGATCTTTTTTAATATACAATATATTGAATATAATATTGAATATAATATATATTGAATATATATTGAATATATATTGAATATATATTGAATATTCTAAGTATTATTTATTTAAATTAATTTATTATTATTATATATATTGTAATATTTCATAAAATATCATTTGAAGTGCATACTAGTGAATTACTTTTTAGATTGAAATGTAGTAGAAATTTACATATATATTAAAAGAATTAAAAAAAAAAGTGAAGAATGTGATTTTGAAATTATTACAACTTATATAAGATTTATGAGAAAAAGTTTGATCTTATCATAGTTTGATCTCAATTAATTCCTCTGCTAGATTAAACAACATTTTGATTTCTTCGATAAATAATAGAACAACCGAATTGTAATATATTTTTGAACCAAACCACACAGTTCTGTCACTGCTGCCATTTATAGTTCGCGAAAAGACATTCAGTACGCTTCGAATTCTTTTATTATCCCGTACCAACATTCACTATCTAATTAGAACGCTCAATTAACACTATTCACGCAATACCTGTTCTGTTTAAAATTTCTTTTTCATCTTTCTTCTAATATATAATATTCTAAAAAATATATATTGTTGTTTATTATTGTATCTCTTTAGCAAAATTGAAATTACCTGAAATTATATTAATAAAATAAAATGAAGAAAAGGAAAAAGATATTTGATAATAAAAAATTTAATTTCTTAAATTATATTTTTACATTATTTCAATGTTATATTCCAACATTTTTCTAAATAAACTACAAAGAGGAAAACTACGATAATAGTCAAATATGTTCTTAACACATTCATTTGTGGTGAATTCTGACTCATTGATAATAAATGTACAATATTATATGTTGGTTCATGATAAAATAACATTTTTTTGAACATATCGTAGAAGATTATTATTAATATTTTATCTGCAAAATGAGAAAATTTGACATGTTAAGAGAAATTTCGTTAGATAATTATGTGTGGTTAAAATTATGTGATGTTATATAACAAAATTTAAAATCGATTTGCCTTAAACGTTGATTTTGTTTGAACTAAATTAACTTAAATTAAAATTAAATATATAGAAATAGTTTCTTTTAGACTGTATAAATTTTAAATCAAAACTTTTAAAATAGTACATTTTACAATATTTTGTTTTACTAAATAATATTACCAAATTTGTTTATTTATTATTTGGAATATTATATTATTGAAAATATTTATATATAATATGATTTTTTATTCTCTCATTTTTATTCTTAATACAAAGAATAAAAGTTCTTAGAAAAGGAAGTTTTTAAATTTTATAAAAAATATTATATGAATATCATGTGATAATATATCTTTATATTTATAAAAAATTTTGTCTTTTGCTTAAATTCAGAAATAATATATATTTCAGTTAATATTTTAAGAATATTTTAATTTAATTAAAATTATTATTACTTAATAGAATATAATATTTTATGAAATATAAGAGAAATACGATATATGCAAGTTAAACATAGTCATTATTATTTTTCTTGTGCAAAATATAAATAGAATATTTAATAGAAATTAAATTTTATGTTTTTAAGTTATTGATATAAAAAGATGATCTAACTAAAATTTAATGAAAACTAACTGAGATTTAATCACACATTTTTATTCAATGATAATGATTATTCTATTATATTCTATATTTAAAGATATGTAAAGTATTCTATATTTAAAGATATGTAAAATATCCATAAATTATACAATAATTTTTTATAAAATTGAAAAATTTCTCAATTGAGGAATAATATTAAATATTATAGGAATATGTATGAAGAAATATAACAAACTATCTCTTTTTTTTTTTAAGATAAAGTATGCATTTGTATAGTAAATGTTTTGATAATTGTGGTCTATGTGTTCGTGTCAGACCGTTCACTTTCGATTAAATCCTTACATACGGCTAACTGCATCTCGCTCTTTAACCTTCGTGAAGGTGAAAGAATCGACGAGGTACGATATATTCATATACATATGCATTTATGTGTATAGTTAAATGGCTGAGAGCGTGCCAATCGTGTCTGGGGACGATTTTATAGTGATGTTTCCATGAGGGTATTTACCAGGACTTGTTGACTTTCTGATCGGTTCGATACATCTTTTGTGCGATTTTTAATTAATCATATAATGTTTTATGATATTTTCTTTTATATTTCAAAATTTGATTGTTACGTTAATTAAAAATGTTTATTTTAAAGGAATTATATATATAGATATAAATTCAAAAAAGCGAATTTATACATTTTTATATAAATTTTAATGTAAAAAAAATGAGAAAATTTTCTGATAAATATACTTATCTTGATGCAAAATGATGTAGTAAAGTATCGCTTCCTTACTACACGATTTATTGCTTTCAAACAATAGAATTAGTGAACATTTTATTGCCACTTTTGAAACAAATGATCATTGATCATAGTATAAAAGATTATTATGTTTATAATAGCATTATAATAAGAAAATTTAATACATAAAATTACAATAATTACAAAAATACATAAAATTATTAGAAAAATTAAAAAAATTTATACATTGACATATGTAAAAATGTTATAATACAGAAAGAAGAAAGAAAATGAAATAAATTCATAGATAAGAATAATTTTCCTCGTTTAATATGCGATATATCTTTCAAACTAAATAGTTTCCACGAAAAATCCGAATAAATTTTACATTTTTTTCGAGAATTGTTAAAGAACTTTTTTTCCAATATTTATATTAAATGCAATAACTTATTTATAAAACAAACCAATATCTAATATACAACTGTATAGTTCCAATCAATGACTCATATTGCAGAAATATTTTTCAGATTCGAACAATTGTAACAAACGCGTATGTTTTGCTTTCCGTTCTATGAAACACGTGCAATAACATTAACAGAACGGTTTTCCCCCGGAAATATCGCGTAATTCTTGCTTATTGCATTTAGGTAATCAATGTACTGATGTTTTCTCATTCTCTCTATCATTGCATCGTTTGTCGTTAATTAATTGAATTACGCATAAAAGTCGTTGATAAAATACGATTTTGAAATAATTCTTGGACGTTGTTCAAATGCTAAAAATCCGATTGTGACGCAGTCTCTGTATATTGTGAGTAATGCGAATTCAGAAGAGGATTGGATGTTACTATGCTTCTTTCACTGAATCGTCATTTATACTGTAAAGAGTTGCTCAATGCTCATAACATATGTAAATGGTTGTGAAATTAATTTAAAATATTTAAAAATTATTTTTTATAAATTATAATATTTTGTAGATTTTATGTACATAACAATTCGTAGATTGAAATTTGCATATAGATAGTGGATAATTAAAGATTCGAAATCAGCTATAAATATTACAGTGAGTAATGTAAAAAAGTGTGAAATATCTACGTAAAACAGTTATACAAACTGTTCAACTATCGTATTTATATATGCACATTTCGTTTGTATGTAGTTTTTACGTGGTTCGAATTTGTACTTGTAATAATATATCAATGCACGATTTAGAAATAATATAACTTTGATTATTTTCAATAATTATTTTAAATAAATAGTTATTAGTATTTGAAATATTAACAGTTGATATTTGTAATTTTAAAAAGTAATTTTATTTTTCAATTTTGATTTAGTTGATTTCTATTAATTTTATATAATATTTCTTAATTTTATAATCAAATGATAATGAAAGATACAATACAATATTTTTAGAAGTATAAAAATATTATATTACAAACTGATTGAGTCTGAGGAAGATTCTTCCAATGACTAATCTACAAGAAATATGAGCTACGTCATTCATAATATGGCTTTGGCAGATTTATGTATTTGGCAGCGATCGATAATCCATTCTTTATAATTCAATTCTATAATTTTTTTCATTCGCGTTTACATACAATTCATGTTTAAAAATTAAATAAAAATACATATATATATTTCCAGTATTTTTATTAAATTATATAAATTATATAAATTATATGTATATAAGATTTCTTAATTAATTTATTTATCACCACTATATTATTATTATATTACTACTAACTCAAATTAAAAACAAGATAATTTGATAATTAAAAAAAAAAATATTTAAAAATATATTTCTCTATTCTTGATGTTTTGGTTGTTTTGTATTCACTTATAAATATTACGAAAATGATCAAAAATATTTGAATATAATTAATAATTATTGTATATTGAATATTAATAGTTGTTAGTTGGTAGTTGGACAAAAAGCAAAATTAATTTATTAAAAAACAGACATGAAAGAACAAACAAAAAAATATGAATAAACTGAAATGAAATATGTTAATCATTATTCAAAAGATATAAAAAATTTCAGCAAAATATTTATTTTATCTCATAGGATAAATAATAATTCATCAACAAAAAATGAAAAAAAAATATTTTAAAGCTTAAGAAAAAAATCGATCTCTTTAAATCAACCAAAATTTGTTAACCAATCACACAAAGTTTATCTTCTTAGAATTAAAAAATATTATTTTCTCTCCCTTTAATCTTATATTAAATAAAAGAACATCAATTGCGTATAGCCACTCGACTTCCGGCTTAATAGATACGATAATATTCATATATGAATTTCACATTCATATCAAACAATTTTATCCTTTTCCGCGTCGAAAAAAGTAATTTTTTTTTATTTGTTCGTCAATCAGTGGTAATGATTCTTACAGTTATTATTGTAATAATGTACTTTTGGCAAGTCGTATCTGTTATCTTAGCAACGTGACGAGCTGCACGTAATGTGTATGATATCGAACGTTTTGTCTCGATGTTGCACTCTATCTATATCGTATCAGTAGATGCCAGTTATAATAAATTCAATTATCTTTAAAGATAAACGAGGACATAAGAAAAGAATAAAAAGAAAAGCAGATTTAAAGAAGATAAGAAATACCTTTAAAGATTTACACGTCCGGGAGATCGGACAATTGTAAGCAATGAATAATGCGGTTGTGATTGATTTAATGAAAAGAATAGTATGTTTCGCGTTTAATTTGCTCGAACAATTTCTGTCGTCGTATGGCGCGACGGAAATCGAGAAAGATAATAGTTAACTGATTATACAGAATGTTTCTTCGCTGGTCTAGCGTTAAAACAAAACGACGTGCTCGGTGTCGAGCTCAGTATCAATTGTCCGTCTCTCAAGCTGATTCGATAGTGCACAATAGTTATTGAATATTATCGATATCAATATTGAACGTGGTAAAATCGTACGATATGCTTTGAGGAAAAAAAAAAAATATTTCTATTCGGACCATATTATGTACATAGTAGGAACTTGTTCCTCCTTATTAGATAGTTTTTTATTGATATCATTTACTTTTTAGCTGGCACAGTGAAAGGCATTTGCCATTCTGGATCGTTGTTAGAGAACTTGTAACACGAGTGTCTTACTTACTTGAATTAGAACGCATATTTTTGTATAATTTGAGACAGATCTCTCAATGTAGTGTGTAAAAGTGTAGCTTGTAAAAAGTTTTATTTTGTAATTTATTATTTTTCATTAATTATCAAATGATTTTTATCGTTTGTTAATTGTTAATTGTATTTCTATTCATTGGCAATTTTACAAATGAAAAAAATAAGAAATTTTGATTGTTATAAAATGTATTAACGATTTCATGGTTATGCTTGTTTGACAAACTGAAAATTATAGTTAAAATTTTAACAGTATGCTTTCCAATTCTTAAAAATATAATTTACTTAATTTCAATTAAGTAATTCAAATAATTATTATCAATTCATTTATTAGACTCAATACTTTTAATAAGAATTTAATAATTTAATAAGTTCTTAATAAAAATTTCATATTTTTTTTAAATTATATTATTATAGCTTTTTTATATTTATATTTATATAAAAAAGCTATAAATTCAAAAAATGTATGAATATGCCGATACATTTCAGAGATATGAACAAATGAAAATATATTTTTTCAGTTTTCATTTATATATTTCGTGAATTTCTTAAATCATAAATCATCTTTCTATATCGATATTTACAAAATAAAAAAAGAAAAAGAAATCATTCAGCATATATTTCGTGGATTACGTGATAATATACACGCTGTCGAATGTAGTACCAAGGTTAGAGATCTATTGGGTCAAGGCTAAAATGTGATCCCTATTCATGTACCTACTGCTGGAACCTTTGCGTTTATCTGAACCTTTCTTGTGCATGTGCGTATAGTCGAAAATCTTTGACTTCATTACTGTTTAGTTATACTTATAATATTTTGATAAAAATGATATTTGTTTGATTAAATGTTAAGAAAAACTTTTTTTTTAATAATCATAAAAATAAATTTCATTTTGTATAATAGATTTATAATAAACATGATAAAAGTTTGAATCTATAATTACAAGTTTCAATTTTTTAATTTTTTTATCGAGTTTGTTTTTTGCTGAAATGAGTGATTGAAAATGATTTATGAATAAATTTTATTATTTATCAATAAATTTCAAGTAAATGTTTCATATTATATTACTTTTATCATTATATATATATATATATAGAAAGATGAAATATATAAGATATTTATATTTAACAATATTTTAATAGAAATAGAAGTGATATAGAAATAATATAGAATCATTCAATAAAATTCAAGCAAAAAGTCAGAGTATGTCTCATAATAATTTTCTAAAACTCTTGTTGAAATAATTTTTATATGATAACACACAATAAAACAAAATATTGAGTAATAGAATTCTTAGAATTCTTTTGGTTTTAATCTTGTTCACCTTCTTGAGATTTGATATATGTCTGTAAAAATTCATACAAGAAAGCATTTCCAATTTCTTCTTAGAAACTGAAAATAAAATTTTGCAAAGAAAAATCTTGAGTTAATATCTTTAATGATATAATATATTGGCTTTCATAAATTGATAATGTATATTTTGTAGATAATGTATATTTTCTTTTGCACAAAATTATACATCAAACTTTAAAATTTATATAAATATAAAATTGATAAAATTTTATATATAATTTTATGTATTTATTCTTTTTTATTCTCATTGACAATTATTATCAATAAATAAAACATATTTTAAATTATTTCTAATTTTTATTATAATAATTAAAACTCCGCATACGGAATTTTATATTGAAAATATAAAATTTTTAATTGATAAATATGAATCTATGCAGAAAGAATAGATAATATCGCATACAACTTATGAATCATACATTTTATGTGTAAAAACGAGTGAACATTTCGTTTTGATTTAATGTCACATTGATTATTGTCTTAAGTTATTACTCTGAGTAACTATTCAGACCAACGACTTCATGGTACGTTTAATAATTGGAAATAAAAAAGATTATAAGTATTATGATAAATTGCATCATATAATTTTAATTAATTTATTTTTATAATATAATATAAAATGATATAAAATTCTTTAAATTGTTAATTAAGAAAACTTTAAACTATTAAAATAAAAATATGCAGTTTATTTAAAAAACAAATTAAAAAATAATTTAAGCAAAATATTTTATAATTTATAATTTTTTTATATTAAAAAATAAATTACTCGTTTTTTCATATACATTACTAAAAAAAATACTTATACTAAAAAAAAAACAAATAGCAAAATGATATAAATATAATGATATTATAGAAAGATGAAATATATAAGATATTTATATTTAACAATATTTTAGTGGAAAATTGATTAAATGATAAATTTTTTTCGAAAATAACATGTCATAAATTTATATTTACTATTGAAAACAAAGGAATTAATATAATAAATCCTACTTTTACTACCTTTATTATCTTTCGTTACGTAATGTATCTCATGAAATCATTTTTTAGTTTCATTCAATATGATTTAATACATATAGTACTCAAAGTACGTTTCATTGAAGTGTATATATGCCATAAATTTTACGTTATCTTTAACATTGTATTCTAAGAGACAAGAAGTAAATGCAATTAACATTTAGACAATTCTAAGTCATCATAAAGTTAATAATCTTTTTATATTAATTTTTAAAAATATTATGCATTGATTAATTGTTCTATATGTTTTAAAATTAAATATGAAAAATAATTATATGATCAATTTTAATAATAATAAAAAAAATTAATATTGAGAAATATGTATAAATATGTAATAATTTAAAATCCTGAAATGTAAATTTTAAATATATTATTGAAAATAAAAAATTTTAAGTTTTGAAAATATTTCTTTAAAAAATTATTAAATTTCAATAAGACAATTGGATTATTGATCAATATATGTAATCGATTATTATAAAAATTAACTCTAAATTTTCCATTAATAAATGAATTCAGCTGCATTTTTGTAAACCTGCATGATTGTAAAAGCTGATTAGAATTATAGTAGATATTATAATGTGACTTCGATTGTGATATTTTTAGATTATTATTATCTATATCTAGTTAATCAATTCTGATTAAAATTCTTAAAGTATCATTATATTTTGATTATGATATCCTTAGTATGATAATCTTATCATTGGAAAAATACATTGTAGGATTTATTCTATATATCTTATTATACAACATAAAAATATAAACAAAATTGTAGAATTTTCAAATTAATCGATTATTAATTCATTAATTTGAAAACTTGAAAAACTTGATTAACTAAATATTTAATAGTTGATTTTTTAATCAATATAAGATCATGGAGAAAATATATTATTCTAAGGTATTTGACCATATTGTAGTCATATCCGTTTATAACACACCGGAAACAAATATTTTGTACATATTGAACATTTATAAATACGGTACCAACTTATTTAACTTGCGATAATACAAGATTATTACCTACAGTGTCATATATTTGTTTTATTGCGTCTCCAAGACCATTTATCTTTCTCATTTTCATTATTAATTTAAGAAAAAGAAGTGTCCATTGTTGATAAGTAGTTATAAAAATTAATTTATATTTAAGAATAGAAATATATTTAAAATGCTTATCATACATATATTATATTGGCAATCATATTATATTATTTGAAAAAAAGAAGAAAAAAGAAAAAATGAATGAATTATATTAAAAATTCCCTGAAACGATGAAGTCAATATTCTCGATGATTGTTTAAAGATCACAAATTCATAATAAACCAGTTTGCAAGGACATTTAGTTTCCTTGATTAAAAGTACGATGCTGATGATGATTTATTTTTCAGGCGATGGTGGCTTGTTATCCTGGTCACGGTTCACATTACGTGAAACACGTGGATAATCCTAATCGAGATGGACGATGCATCACAGCTATATATTATCTTAATCAAAATTGGGATATCAAGGTAAAGATTAATTTAATCATTCCATTTCGATATTCCATTCCAATTTTTTTTCATTAAATTTTTATTCTATTTTTTTCTAAATTGAGAATCTAAATTGAGAATTAATTTGAGAATGATTTTTAATTTTAATATTAAAATTTTATTTAATTATTAAATTCTTTTATTAAAAAATTTTAGTATAATTTTAATATATGAAAATTTTTGAACCTGAATATTTATTTTAAATTCATGATAGTTATTAATAGTTTCAGTACGCATATACATATTACACGTGTAATACTTTGAAACTTGGTTTCCTGACATAATCGCATTACAGTCATTCTGCTCTGATTACTCTAATGATATATTAAATTATATTTGCTATACATATTATATTTATTTGCTAAATAAGTATTAATGATTACTGAGGAAGTGATTATTTGACATTAAAATATAATTATTAGCAAAATCTCGTTTATCTATTGATAAATTCATTTAAAAATAAATTTTTCATTGTAATTTATTATTAAATTATTATTGATATGTGATTTTTTATTCTAATATATTTAAATTTTAGATGTATATTATTACACTTATCAATTAAAATATACAAAAAAAAATATTTTAAGTCTCAACATAAAGAAATAAAAATTATAACTAATAAAAATACTCAATTTCTACATTAACTATGTTCATCGTAAATTTTTCTCATAGTTATCTTGTTATCTCTCATTCATCCTGCACATGCGACCATAAATGTTTGAATTTTAAAAATAAAGATATTGTATCATAAAGGGCATTCAGAGTCTACGTGAATTGTCCCATGTCCCAACGATGCTTTTATCTCGTATATGTTTGAAAAACTTGTTAAGTAATATTTATATTAATTTACATAAAAATAGGCTTGTGTTGTCTTATATTTATAATATAAAAGCACTAAAATATAAAATACATTATGTATATTATTTTTAATCATGCATTAATACATTCTTGACTTGATGAGAGAGAGAGAAAGAGATTTGATGAGAGAACTTGTATAACTTTTACGTCCATTGGCCTCTTTTTGAACAAGTTTTAAATTGGAACTGTTTTATCTTTAAATATATTCGAATATCATCGAAGATTTAATATTGCTACTGACGATTCTTTCAATTATTGTTTTAAACCTCATCATTGTTTCAATAAACAATTTAAATAAAGTTTTTAATATCTTAAAAAAAGAATATCTTAAAATTATAATTGAAAATTAAAAAGTTATATATGTTAATTCTTACATATTTTTTTTGAAGTTGGAAAATTTTTTACTAAGAAAATCAATGGAGACAAAAGACAAGCTTAAAAATCTTAAGGACTTAAAAGATCAAAAATTTGTATATTCAATATTTATATTATTTAAATAAAGTTTTTTATAATAAAATTTCTATCCATTATTTTTCACTATTATATTTAATTAAGAAAATAATTTAATGCTATTTTAAATTATGAGTTTTTATTTCTAATAATAATTTATATTTAATTTTTATATTTTTAGAAAAACGGTGGTCTCTTGAGGATATTTCCAGAAGGCTGGCGTGATCAAGTAGCAGATATTGAACCTCTTTTTGACAGAATATTGTTCTTCTGGTCAGACAGGAGAAATCCGCATGAGGTTCAGCCAGCATATAAAACAAGATATGCAATCACTCTATGGTATTTTGATGCAGAAGAAAGAAATCAAGCTTGTCGAAGATATCAAAAAGAAAGTAAATAATATTAAAAAAAAATTTATGTTTTAGCAAACAGTAGTTAATAGCAAATTGTTTAAATGTTAAACATTTGTTAAAACATTTTTTAATATTATTATTAAAAAATGCAGAATATATTTACTCAAAAAACAAAGAAACTTTGAATAAAAAATTATTAAATTAAATAATATACAAAGTAAAAGATATTGATATTATGATTTTGAATTTTTTCAATTTACAATCTTATATGCATGTAAAATTTAAAAATATTATTAAATTATATTTCTTATATATTGTTAGCTATTCAATATTTCAAATAATAAAAATGATTAAATATGATGAAATTTAAAATATTGGAGAAATAACTTTAATAATTTTGAACAATAGTTGATTTAATCATTTATTTTTCAGAAGAATTACATGTGAAGAATGAAAGTTCGTGAGACATGGAGTCTGAAGGACCATTACACCGTCCGTCGACTGAAATTGTAACTCTATTAGTTAAAGTTATACACTTGTACATAGTTATACGAAGAAAGCACTGGTATAAACTATTATGTATTATTCTGTATTATGATATAGTTGAGATTGTAGGAGGTACGGACATCGGAGTATATAAAAATTTAAGGATGTGCAATAAATATATAAGCGCGTTCTTTTTTTATATGATGGCATTGTAATATATTTCGATGAGTAAATGCGCGTAGCCTTTAAAGTTCATTATTATACATATTAATCATTAATCTCTGTTTTTTCTAACACTCTAATGCTCACACTGTAATCGAACGTTTGTAAAAGTTTAGCATTCGCTTGCCATGATTGTAAGTTTGTTCGTTATATCAATACGATACTTAGCTTCAATATTTGAAGCATTAAAATTTTTTGCAGCATTCGTAATTCGTATACGACTGCTAAAGTTATATAGTGTACAGAAAGGACGAAAGAGCATAAAATGTATGTGTAGGATGAGAGTGAAAGTTTGTATGCTAAAGAAAGAGATTGATTTAAATAATGAAATTAATGTTTCTATCTTAAAATTTTCTAAACAAAAATTCTGTCTTATTATTAATTACATATGTTCCCTTTAACTTCTGTATAGCTGATATTGTTAATAACAATTCAGCTTGTTATTAATATGAAATTGTAATATTTGTGAATCGTACTATTACGTTTTATTATTGCATCTCATATATTACGCGTTGTTCTATAAAGTTATAATCCTTATATTGATGTTTGATTAAACGGCCAGTAATTGACTTATGCTTCCAGCGCAGTGAATTGAGATATGCCGGGGCCCAGTCTGTACCTGTAATATTGTTATGTACATTGCGAAGAGGTAGAAACACATGTGTTTAATATTGTATGTATCTATTTATATAAATCGATAAGAAAAAAAAAAAACATGAAAAAAATGAAATAAACATGTATTTCCTATGTCCTACATAGAAAATCTGATCAACTTTGTTAGTTAATCTGAGAAAAAAGTAAAAAAAAAAAATGTTAAATTTCTCTGAGGTATATTATGTTGATAATATTAAACATATTCATAAGGATGTTGTTATTAAATTATTTTTCAATTCTCTTTTGTTATATTGAATATAAAAAATCAAGAAATTACCTAGTATTTACCTAGTATTATGAGTTATTAAATTATTTTTTAATAATCAAACTTAACATGCTTTTATTTTAATAATAAACATTTTTATGGATTAAATTATGAACTAAAAATGTATATTTTGAAATACTATAAAAAATTATTATATAAAATTGATGAGAATTAAAATGTGAAAATAAATATTATATTAATAATATTTATAAATAAATAAATATTATAAATAAAATAAACAAATATTCATAAAGGGATGGAATTTGTAAATATTTACATTGTAAAATATTTTTGAATAATGTTTTATTTTATTTATTTTCAAAGATTAAAAACAATTTATGATTAGACATCATCCTTATCTTTGGGAATAGCACAATGCTCAATTAAATTTAATGCTGGAACATATACTTTAAACGAATAATCATTTTTTGGAAACAATCCAGGATTAATTACATGACAATTAGAATAATTAGTTTCATATTCTGCAAATCTATCTGCAGCCACAATAAGATCTGGAGTAGGATATATTTGTAAAGAATGATTGTATTTCCAATATATTGGTATTACTGACAAACTTAAAGGAGACAAATGAGATTGACAGATGATTGATTTAGCATACTGAAACATTTATAAAAAATAAAATTATATAATTTATAAATAACATACATAAACAATTAATAATATAATAAACTTTACATGATCATAGATATTGCCTTGACTTGGAAAATGGAGTGCATTTCTACACATTTTTGTTAATATATCTTCTCTTAACACTACAATTTCTTTTGTGCAATACTGAATTCTACATGGATTAGTAGTAAAGATTGCACCAGGTATATTTTTTCTAAAATCTTCTGTAAGATGTCTTGGAAGTGGTGATCTTGGTAAAATTTTTGGTGATCCAATATCATCTGATGCAGGTACAAAAATAAATTTGGAAGTTTGTTTTATATCTGGATATTGTATTATTATATCAGCAAGATTTTTAAGTCCTTTTTTCAATGCATGTTTGCTTGATATATTAGTAGAAAAACTTAAAAAATGTCCACATAATACAAAAGCTATAGGAGGACATTCAGAATATCCTTCTATCATAGTTTTAAATTTGCGTAAAACAGTTACATCATCTAACCATATTTCAGATACAAAAACAATCATTCCATCTTTATTACTTTCTTCAAAAATTTTTAATTTTTCTGAAAACTTCAAAGATAAATTGTGAGAACCACCAAATGTATTAGTATTACCAAAATCTACACGTGCATTGTTAGATGATTCTGCTGGTGGCAAACCTATATTTTCTACATGTAAAATACCTTCTTGAAAATTTCCATTAACTATTACAATAGAAGCCTCCATAATTAAACCATCTTGAAAATTGTGTAAAAGTATTAAGGATTAATATTTATTATGCTCACATGATAATAATATATGATATATTAATGATAAATATATATGATATATTAAAAATTATATTTATGATTATTATTTTATAAGTTTTAAAAGGATATTGCTCTTTTTAGATCAAGTTTTATAAAACCTCCTGTATCTTCCAAATAATATTGTCCCTCTGTTAATTCAGTTAAAAGACCCATGACATAAACATTTCCTTTTTTGCTTTCACTCAATAGATATTCAATTGATGTTAATTCAATCCAATTTTCTTTTTTTTCACCAAGTTTTGGTGGTATAAATAATTCATGTCTTAAAGTTCTATACCAAAGTAATTCAAATCTGTCTTTAAAAATTATAGATTTATATTGTGCTTCAGCATATAAATCTGGTGAAATATTTTCCAAAATAAATTTTTTTTTAGATAAATCATATTTGATTTTAGGTACATCAAATATATCTATAACATTTAAAACTGTTTCTGTATCCTTTAATGTATTTGGTCTTATATATTCTTGTATTGCTAGCTTTAGAGTTTCAATAGTTACATTTGGATCAGTTAAATTTTGAGTCAAAACATGTTCTATTATTTGTGTAAGCCAATTTTCCTGTTCATTTTCTTCTATACTTAAAAGTTCTTTAGCAAGTGCAACACTAAGTTTTCTATATAATAAATTTTTTTTACAAAATTAAATGATAAAATGTTATATATTTATATAATATTATAAGTCTAATATATAAACATTTAATATACCTTGAAAGTACAAGTCCATATAATGAGAAGGTACTTTGTATTGTTTTTATTAATTTTTCATCAGACATAATTATAAAGATATTTATATATACGTATTATATATTCTAGACAGAAATAAATTTTTTTGGCTTCAGATAATAAGATGTTATAATGTATAAAAATATACAATAATATTATAAAAATAAAAATATAAAATAATTATATAATTGCATTTCTTAATATTAATATTTACTGTTAAAGAACATTATCATAAAAATTTCCCGCCTTCTTATTACTTATAGCTTACTTATATATAGCTAATTTATGTTTTCTTAAAATCATCCAAAAATTCTATTCGTGAAAATTAATTTTTTTATTTTAATTATATTATAAATATAAATATTTAATTATAGAGTGATATAGAGTTAATATGCAATAGAATATTATATAATAATAAGTTAAATTTATAGAAAATTTAGATATATCATATAAAATATGATTAACCAATCAATTTAAAGTACATTTATTCATTCAAAATTAAATACTATATAAACAACATAACCAAGTAATAGATTGTATCGTAATCTGTAATAATTAGTGTGATATATATTTGTAATCAATTATATATTGATATTAAATTTTGTAAGTGATAATGAAATATACCTAAAATATAAAACATATAATTTATTTAACTTCTTTATAACTTTTTTTAAGAAAAATCACGTTTATCGGATCACAAAGGAATAGACATTTTCATTTTTTACGAAAATAAAGTACGTAAAATTTTATATAAAATTACTACAAAAATGAATGATAGTATTCATATATTAATATGTCTTACTGGTATTATTGCTATTCATGTTGGTTGGAATATGGTACAGAAATTAAGACCAGAAAAGGATCAACGTAAACATCCTTTTATAGAATTATACAATGATTTCATAAATTCAAGTGACAATAAATAAAATATTATTGTAATTAAATATTTATTAATGTAATAATATATAATAAATGTTATAAATATTGAAGAATTTATATTTTTGAAATAGAAATCAATATTTTTTTAAATAATAATTAATAAAATTAATCACTTGCTATAAATATATATACTTTCTAATTACATTAATTATTAAATTATAATTATTTCATAACACTATTACAATATATATATTAAGTATGATAATACAACATTCCTTTTGTACAAAATTTTATTTTAAGATATACATATAATATATAACATACATACAATAAATATGTATATATGGAAATCATATTAATTAAATAAAATCTTTTCAGAAATTAGAAAGACAAATGTGCAAAATAAAAATAAAATATATTAACAATTATTAATTTATAATGAAAGTTTATAAAGTTTAAATAAATAGATAAATAAATATATATGTATATATATACATATAAATATATTACAATCACAGAGGAGCTTAATTAGAACCTTTTAATAGTAGGCAGGTGATCAAAATTCTGTTGATAATTCATGGAGGAGCTTTTCGGCCGATTTTCATTTTGACTGTGTACCGAAGCACCAGCCTTAGGAAGTTGTGGTAATACCATTTCATTGCTATTACTATTCTACAATAAAATAGATATATTAGAATGTCTTTAATAACTTTGTTAATTTATTATATTTTTTAGTATATCATTATATCATATTTTTTAGTAATACTTAAAATATTTTTATTATTATAAATATCTATATAATCATAATTAGTTAATTAATTATTGTAATTTTGCAATTTTGCAAACATACTTGTGATCGATCCCGATTTTTTTTAAGTTTTTCAAATTCCTCCATTTCCGCTTCAGGCATTTTGAAATGAAAATTCTCAAAATAAAGATGTTGTAAAAGTTGTTCACAGGACCATCTTTCATCAGGATCTTTATCCAAGCACTTTTTGAGAAAGTCAAGCTGTTAAATTCAATAAATAAAATTTGTTATTTCAAATTTTTAATCATTTTATATAATTATTATAAATTAAAAAATATTCTTAAAATAAAAAAAATTTAAAAATTTACTTGTAAAATTGTATTGCCTCTCTTTGGTAGAACAATTTCGAGAGGAATAAGAGTTTGAGGTGTTGGTAAAATTATACCAGCGAAAAATTCGTTTTGCTGAAAAATAGCTAGATGTCTTGGTAATAAGTCACCGATAGTTCTTCGAATTAAGTATAATTGATCCACATCTGATTTTCCTGGCCATAGTGCTTCTCCACGTATTAATTCTGCGAAAACACAACCGATTGCCCATACATCAACTGGTGTACCGTATTGAGTATCTCCGACCTGTTGAAAAATATCTTTTTAATATATAATATTAAATATTTACTATTGTCTTATTATTCTAATTAAAAATTTATTATTAAAATGCAAAAATATATGAAATCTAAACAAAAATATGCTCTATATAAAATATATTTAGAAAAATAATTTAAGAATAGAATAATAATTTTATTAGTGTGCTTTATTAAATTAATATCTATATTAATTTCATTTTATTTTAATTAATTCATAGCTATTACACAAAATATAATAAAATAAATTTAACAATTAAAATTAATGAACTATTAACAAGTAAATATAGAAATATTATATAAAAAAAATTACCAATAACTCAGGTGCTCTGTACCATCTAGTTGCGACATATTCTGTGTAATTTTCACCAGGACTGAGCATTCGAGCGAAACCGAAGTCGCATAATTTTACCACGCCATCGCCTGTGATTAAAATGTTTTCCGGCTTTACATCTCTATGAACGCAACCCAATCGATGGCAATATGCGATGCCCTGCAGTATTTGCCATGTGAGCTGTTTTGTAGTGATTTCCGGACACCCACTCGGATATCTCTCCATCTCATTTAATAACGTATACTCGCAATATTCAAAGACTAGATGTAATTTCCGTTTCCGCCTGAAGACCTCCAGAAGATTGACCAGATTTGGATGTTTAAGATTCTGCAAACCATTTATCTTTACAATCAAAGAATTTAGGTTTATAAAATATATAAAAGCTTAGAAATTAGAATTATCAAATTGAATAATTAATCAAAAATCATTACTACATTAAATGATTATAAAATGTAAAGATATAAATAAATCACAAAATTATTATTTTAGAAATATCAATTTCATTCGATTATGTAGTAATATTTTTAAAATACTTTAATATAATAATATTTAAAATATAAAAAATTATAAATTATAAAGATTGAAATATTTGATATATAATACAAAAGATAATATATATATATATATTAAAAGAAATTTATTATATTATTATATTAAAAGAAAAGATAATATATATCAAATAATAACATTATGTTAAGAATTAAAATAAGAATAGCTATTTTTTGCAAAATTGCAAAAATGCTAAAATATACTTTATAATAATAATATATTTAATATTATAATTATATTTTATATATTAATATATAAAATATATTTGCTAAAATATACTTTACAAAGCAATTCTATAAAGATAAATATGTATGAAAATCCTGTAACCTTAATAAGAATAAAATCTATATATATAATTTTTCTTTTCGACTTATTATCAGAGCAGATTTTGCTATTAGAAGTTGCATGGAAAGAAAATCATTAACATCATGTCCTGAATTTATTGTGAACATGAAGGAAAATATCCTTGAAATGAAATGTCAAAGTAGAATGGAGGCTCGTTTGAATGTGCATATGTTTGGAAGAAAACCTTCCGATTATTTCGATAAGGCTAGGTTACTCAGAACACGCTAAGATATTGACCGCCACGGTATTGACCGTTGGCCACTTCTTGTAGTTACCAAGGAATTTATGCTTTTACTTTATTATATAAAATTATAAACTTTCTTTCTATGAACTGATTAATTATTTGTCTAAAAAATCTAAGAAACATCAATTTCATAATTGAAATCAATAATACGATAGATTCTCGATATTTTTAAAGTAAAATTTTTTTATTCGAGACGAATAACGAATAGAAGCTTTAGTATCTTTAAGCTGCAAAAGGTCGTTCACCTGGAAATATATGGAGGGCTAGAGTCATGCTAAAGGAAGAAGGAATTAAAGGCAAGAGGCATGTTAAATAAGATGAGAAAGGTTTATGGTGCCTATTTTCTTCTTTTTTCTGTTTATTCTTTTTTTATTAAATATATATATATATTTTTTTTTTTTGATAGAAAAGAAATCTCTTTTTTTCTAATTTAAATATATATGTTAAATATTGAAACATATATAATGTTAAATATTGAAACTTTTATTGTATTATACAATTTTCGATTATTTTTTATCTACTTATCATCTAAATATATCATGTTAATATATTCTGTATGTATCAAATATCAATAAATAATGATATGTACATTTTTCAAATGATACTTATAATAAAAAATATTAAAAGATATGATACAGAGATTTCAGAACTATATTTATTGTTTTATTTATTAAATTTATATATACCATTATAAATAAATTGAACGATAGTGATTATTAACATGCAGTGATTGCAAGAACAAAATATTTAATGTGGTAATAGATATATATTCTTATTAAATTAGATTTTTTTCAATTATAAGTATTTGTATAAAGCATAAGTTTATTTATTTTTATTTATGACGTAATCACTGACCTTAAGGAGTCTTATTTCACGTAGGGCAATTTTGCGTATAAGAGGATCATCTTCTGTTTGTTGGAACTTTTTTACAGCTACCAATTTTCCAGTTTGCCGATCTCTACACTGGAAGACTACACCGTAGCTACCCTCTCCAAGACGCGCTAGTCGTTCGTATCGTTCCATCGCCTTGCTCGGCGCGCGTGACCTATGAGAAAAATAATTTCTTTTATAAATAATAATCACTCTGTGAAATTGATCACGAAATATAATCTTATAGACACATAAATATATAATTCAATATGATATCGTACTTAAATATTAATTACAATAATGATGTTGGTCACATTAGGCAACAAATAGAATTGCTGACTATATATTTATACATGTGATATGAGGTAATTATTTCATTAAATCTATTCAAAACCGATTTTTAAAAAACAATGTACATAAATCCACATTTTTTTTGTCATAATACACATTTCACTTGATGTATATGTGTGTCACTAATTATATAGATTATATAGATACTGCATACTGCACGATGCGTCATTATCGAAAGAACTATGAAATAGCAAAAAATGTTGAAACATCGTGGATATTTTTTATACCGAAAAATCAACAGCTCTATATTATGATATGTGACACAGTTATAAGTATGATACGGATGTTATCTTCATATACTATGACACGTGAATGCACGCGTGTTTCTATTGAAGTGTAATGACAATCGCGATTTATAGGATGCATCCTTCACATGAATTAATATGGACTAACATAATTGCTAATTTTCAATTCCAATAATTCATAATTTATACGATTGAGAATAAAGACAATATTAATGATAATTTCATTGTCATAGAATAAAGTAAAAGAAATTTTTAGAAAAAAGCGCAAGTTGTGTATTTAGTATTCAGTAATGTTGCTTTAAATTGAAAAAAAAAAATAAAAATAATTTTTCAAATAAAAAAGAATAATTTCAATTATAAATACACTTGAATTTGAAGAAGCAAACATAATTTAAAATATGTATAATTTTGATAATTGTCGATGGACACATATGTCGCGGTATTTGAGATCTTCCGAGAAGAAAAGCAAATAAAACCAAAATTTCTAGCGAAATTTTGGGCTCGTACCCACTTTTTATACTTGGCAAGGCATGGCAAAGAAGTGAACTGCTGCGTAAAGATCATGCTATCACTATAAAGGTTGCAAACCACACTGTATTCTCGACGATGACCAAGGGTCAAGCTCTCCTATTTCGCCTTTATTTGAATCGGAACTTACAGCGCAAGCGCTCTTAGAATAGAAAGAATATCTTATATTGGCTATTTTGCGTTAATCCCAGTATTTATATTAAAAGCTTCTCATATTATTTCTTAAAGTGAATAAATATTTCAATAAATTTTTCTATATTTTTTGTTATATATATTATTTTATATACATTATATACAATAATTGATATTTTTTATTTTTTATGTCAATTACATTGGTACTTATATAGAGTTTTATTTTTGAAATAATTAAGATCGAACTTAAATAGTCAAGAAATACATTCAAGAGAATTTTCAAATTTCAAAGAATTTTCAAATTTAATTTCATATAAAAATAAATTTTAAATAAAAATATTTTATTTTACATTTATTTTCATATATAGAATAACTTTCTACAGATAATTTATTTATATTTAATTGACATTAGTCAAATTCATTTGAAAAATTATAAAATATAATTTATTCGAAAATGAAATTTCAAAACGAAAAAATTTTATTTTTATCAACTCATTTTCATACTAGATAGAGTCACTATTTATGTTGTTATTTTTGTACATATTGTATATAAGTCCTATAAATTTTCAATGAAAATTTTTCACTTTATATCTTTATCATTGATAGGAATTTGAAACTATAAAATTGAAATTGATAGAATATTTAAAATTTTGTAATGCGACTTACCAAAGTGGCACATGCTGCCGATAATTTGCGAATCTTAAATCGTTGACCATATCGAGACAAGTGGAAGCACTTCATCAGCATATTCGTGTCTTTTTAATATAACCAAAATCAATGGTTTCAGGTATTTGTTAATTTAGCAGCGCTATCATTAAACATTTAAAACGGTATCAACTTTAAATCGGCAGAAAATGCATCGCTACCATTGAAAGGTTAAGGTGTTAATTAAAAACGTTTCAACGGCTCTGCAATTGCATCCATTTAGTTGCATCTGCAACTAAATTCACGAATCAAATATCTATCAACTTCAAATCAATGGAATATAATTATATTTATTAATTATATGTATTGTAGATTATTTTATAAAATTTGAAAAATTGAAGAATCGTAAGAAATATTTTTTTTGAATCAGGAAAAATTTTATTTTGCAATTGAAATAAGAATTTTAAATTTTATAATTATTTCAAATAATTTTATTAAATATAATTTTCAAAACTATTTCAAACTTCTATTTCAAAGAAGTATTTCTACTTTTAAATTACATCAATATCAATGACGTTGTCAACTATGGCCTACTTAAACAATAAAATGAATACTATTGCCATTATTCTCATCAAATGAATTGCGTGTTATCGTCGAGTGAAAAATAATTGAATTGATTTAAAATGCCTGGAATATTTGAAAATTAAGTTCTCGAAAAAAACTGCATGATTGTTTTGACCTTTTCTTTCATGTCGCATTTATCTTCCAATCATATTTTTTCCACATAAAACACAAATTTTATTATTTTGAATTCTATATGTTTTAAATATCTGCTACAATATGGATCCATAATCCCACATTCTCAAAATCAATGAAAATAATTCATAGAAAATATGTATTTTTTCTATTAAAAATAATCAATATTATAATGAAAATGAAATTCAAATTAATTATCAATTTAATAATTTAAACTTCATGATAATTTTTAACAATGAAATGAATATCAACGAATTTGATATGAAACAAATTCTTGTATCAGAAAATCCACAATTGTGTAAAATAATACTACAACAATTGTATGCAAAATTAATTAAATGCAATAATTGTGCAATAACTGTAACAAAAAAAAATTAATTGATTTATAATATATACATAATACATTGTGAAAATAAAATACATAATTATAATTATAAAGAATAAAATTATAAAGAGTTATTTATAATTGTATAACGTTTTTTCTATATTATTTTTTATTTTTTTTTTAGCTTTTATATACGTACAAGAATCCGAGAATAGCATTCATGAGATTTCGATGGCGAAGCACCTTTATCGTTGAACATACCGAGCGCTACTAAACTTGATGAAAGACTACTTTGCGTTGTTGTTGAACTCTTGATTATTGACAATCGATATTAAGCTGCTACATTGTCTATGTTTAAATAATTACCATGAACCAGGTTGAATTGTTTTTAGCATAATAATAAAACGCCGAAAGTTATGTAATATTTCTTCGAGTGTAATGAACTTTAACAATTTCGTTAAAGATACGAAAAGAGAATTTATAATTAAAGGAAATTCCGTCTATTGATTGGTTATACATGTATACAAGAAAGAGATCTATAAAATAGATAAGATATTTATAATTAATAACAGGATGATGCATTTTAATGAATAGTTTACTCATGAAATAAAGAATCTTTAAATAAATTGATGATTTAATTGCAGTAACAAGCAATAAAAAATGTTTGTCTGAAAAAAAAAAATTATTTTATTATTTAAATCATATGAAAATCACAAATGTTACTTTTATTTTTTTTTGATTGCAATTTTTGTTATATTATAAATGAATAGCTATGCGAACGTTCATATGTTTGTTTCTTACATTGAAAATATAATTATTAAGAACATTGCAAAACTACTTTCATATTTGTGAGACAAACTTTTATTAGAATATAATATATCTATTAGAATATAAAATTTCATTGAAAATATCCTGTTTATTGTAATTATATATAATTGCATGGTTAACATTGATTACAATTATGTATATCATGTTTTTAGTTTTAAAAAATAGAATAAAACTTATACAAAATTAATATAAAAATGAAAACAAATTTATAAATATTTTAAATATTTTATTCTAAATGTTTTATTTAGTCAATTGTAAAATATTTCGTATGTATGATGTTATTTGATTCAAACATATTTAACAGAATTGTAAATTTTTATAAAAAACTTACCTCGAAATAAAAGAATTAATAAATCTATAATAATTATAGATTGCAAAAGTTTTTCTAATAATTCTAGGAGTGATTTTATAAAAATGGAATTTAGCGTGATTGATGAATCAAATGATAATTAAGAGTTATTAGTATGATAGAAATTTCGGATCCATGATGTCACATGATCAGATTATCTGTAGGATACTGGTTAAGAAAAAGGATGAGTTAGAAGAAAGAAAAGGAAATCTGTAATAAGCAAAATATGCAAGAGATAAGGACAGAAACAAAGTAAAAATATGGAAATCAGCGCCATCTTCAGAGTGCTGTAAATGAAACTATATAGACAAGGAGAACAAATAATAAAAGAAGGATAGAGATAAAAAAGAATTAATCATCAGCGCCATCTCCTGAGTGTTTAAGATATTTCTCTAAAAATTTTTAAAAAAGATGGCATTCATATTCAATTCTTATTTTATATTACCTTACCTTTCAAGAATTATTTTTAATACTCGAGAGATGGCGCCACCAATACTCTTTGCAATATCTTTATCCTTTTCTTAATATTTGCTTTCCTTGTCTAGTTAGTTTCATTTACTATGAAGAGATGGCGCCATTAATACTCTTTGCAGTATCTTTATCCTTTTCTTAATATTTGCTTTCTTTGTTTAGTTAGTTTCATTACTATGAAAAGATGGCGCCACCAATACTCTTTGCAGTATTTTTATCCTTTTCTTAATATTTGCTTTCCTTATCTAGTTAGTTTCATTTACGATGAATAGATAGCGCCACAAACACTCTTTTCGTTATCTTTATCCTTCTCTTATTATTTGCTCTCCTTATTTAGTTAGTTTCATTTACGACGAAGAGATGGCATTAGTTGTTCAATTTTTACCATATTTCTGTCTTTCTCCTATTATTTGCTCTTCTTATCTGTATTTTTGCGTTTTATATTTCATATATGTTATATATGAAATTTATATTTATTTATATGTTATATTTCATATTTGTTTTTTCATATTTATAATGCTAATACTGTTTTTAGCGCATGATCACAGATGAAATATAGGATTTCAATTCAATATACTTCCGTCATTTTAAAACTCTTTCAAAACTACGATATACTTTAATTTTGAATATAAAAAATATAAATAAAAAAATTTAAATAAAGTCGGAAGCCTGACCTAATAAAAGGATTAAGAAATAATTTTAAAGAATTGATTTTATCGAAAAACGATATTATGTAATATAATATAATAATAATAAAAATATAATAACATGGATTGTTTCATAATAATTAATATATATAATTATGTATACAATATGATATTTTATATACATATAAATATTTAGTAATGGAATATTTATTTTTTTTATTTATAATTTTATTTCTTTATTGAGAATATTAAAATTAATATTAAAATTCTAATTTTCGAAAAAAAATGTATGAATATTAAATCTATTCTATACTTTGTCTGTGATATCATGTATATAATATATACATCTTGCGTGTTTAAACTATGTAAGAAATATTGATCGATTCAATTCAATGTCAAAGTCACGTATCCTGAAAAGAATCTTCCGGTTATGGTATTTCTTAAGTATTTTATATATTCTTACTCATTTTAGTCTCATTCTTAAGAGAAGAAAGTAATTTAATACAAAAATAAAATTGAAGAATAAAAACAAACATAATTTATCTCTCCCACTTATAATTTTAATCGAAAAAGTTTTTTTTTTGATTAAAAATATTATTATAAAGTTATATTAAAATATATTCAAAATAAAAAAGAAGATAAAAATATATTGACTGGAATATAAGTTCCAAGAAAAAGAAATATTGCAAAACAACTCAATATTTTTCTTATAATTTTTAAACAAGTTTGTTATTCTATTATCGAAAAAAAAAAATATCAACTATTAAACGAAGGAAAGGAAATTTTATTTAATTTCTAACAAATAAAGTTTTCATCACGAAACAATAAAACACAATTTTTAAAACTTTTACATGAAAAAAATAAATTTTTTTCTATATTAAAAAATACTTTTTTACATTTCGTGACTATATTTTAAAAATCTTTATATCTTTTATATATAAACTTATAAAAAGATAATACACATACATATATATATATTTACCTCCTTGGTAGCAAAGGTAGTGTGCTACCGAAAAGCCAAAGCTTCCTATCTTGGAGCCATTTGTCCATGCGAAAGCTTCTCAAAGAAATCTCGTCTGTTCCATGGAATATTCAAGATACATTGTCGTCGATCTGATTCTTATTGTCGGCATTATTGACAAAAACATGTATGGCAGCGGTATGTTTCACCAGTAAACCGAACCGATTAAACGTTCAACTACCATTTGTTTAACTACGTCACTATGTCTGATCGATAATTCCTACGAGTTGCTAGTTGAACCTGTTATAACTACTTTACTTATATTTATCTATTTGTTTATTATATGACGTCATAATAATGATACTTGAACGCGATATTTCCATTTGTATAAAAACTGAAGTATATTCGAGAAGAATTTTTACTTGATAACTGTTATTTATTACGATATTATCTTATGATTTTTATTTAATATAATTATTTTCGAATTATTATAAATTAATGTTAATTTCTTGTGAATGTGCAGTGGGTATGTATAGTTGTTTTAAAATAGTGATTCAGTTTTAATAATATAACGAATAGAAATGTAAAGTATTGTTTGCATTGATAGAAAATTTGATATAATACAACTGAAAAAAAAAAGAAAACAGATGTGAAAAAGACTTAATAATAAGTAGAGACTTAGTAATAAGTAATAATAAAAAAAATAAGTAACTTCCTATAATTTTTTATAAATATTTTTTAAAAAAAATATCATAAGAATTATTCTTTCAACTTTCAAGCTTGTTATGATTAACATAATAACATTTGAATATATTAAATTAAATTATAATTGAATATATTAAATTAGGTTCAATATAATCTGGATAATATGATTCAAGGTTTTTTATTTTACACAGAATTACATATTAGCTTTTTTTACACAAATATACACAACATTTATGCATTATGGTCCTTGCTTTTGCAAGAACATAATATATTTTATTATACAGATGGTTAAATTTGTGTTTCTTTAAAATTTAATTTATAAATAGAATTTATCGATACTCAAATAAGATTAAAAGATTTTTAATAAATCAGATCAAATTAGATTATTTAACAAAAGATTATTTCTTTTATCTGATTTTATAATTGAATCAATTAAATACAATTTATATATCATAAAATTCAGATTTCATACATAAAATACATTTTGATTCATTATACAATTTTACATTTTTATAATATAATATAATTTAATATTTTTACAATGACATTAATTTGTACAGAATATATTTTTCCCATACACGTGAACAGTTTCCTCTGGCAGTTTTTACTCATAAAATTAATAATATATGGGGAATCATTGCTTCGTCGTGAAATTAATTTATACAATTAATATGTAGAAAACATATTATACATTTTTAATATGTAGAAAATCTCAGGTGTAAAACAATTGCATCTATGAAATATGATTGATAGAAGATATAAAAGTATAGAAACATTTTTGATATTGAATAGCCAAATAGAAAATCGTAGCCGGAATTGCTAAAATGGAAAGATATAGAAAATGTGATTCGAAGACTTTCTAAACACTTTTGGCATTTCTTTGGACACCAACCGACGATTTAGGCTTTTCAGTTTCTTGTTGTGCCTCTCCCCTGACAGTAAACGTTACATAATATTTTTTGGAACGATCTAGTCTTTCAGCTGGAAGAGCTATTATCTGTTTTTCTTCTCCATGCGTTACCTCTACCTGCAATCAAAATAAAAATTATATAGATATATATTTTTGCAACACGAAATTAATTATATTATTACATTACACTTTTGAGTAAATAAATACTTTAAAAATTTTGTTTTACATTTATATTTAAATTCATTCATATGTAAACAATTTTATTTTACCGTCATCTGTCCCTTTCCACGACTCTCTATCTTCGGAAGAAGATCCGTTTGTTCTTGGCCGCCTCCACCTACTGCAATTATAATCTACAATCACAATAGGGAAACTGATTCCTTTTGAAAGTCTTTTGGATTGAATTTTTTTATTCAGAATACCATTTCATAATTTTTATTCATTAAACTTTTTTGACTTTTATTTTCATTCAATATAGATATATAGATATATAGATATATAGATATATTGTTAACAATTTCTTATGAAAAATTTGTCCATATCATTTTTTAATATTTCTCAATTTAATACCATTGCTATATCTTTGGTAAAATAAATTCAATTTCAAAAAATTTACGTGTAAACAAATGAAATGGAATTCTCAAACCTCCTTTGTATATCAATGCACTGTAGTAACATACGATATGTGTACACAGGGAAGGAGGTGTAAGCGCTTGTAGCGTGATGACAGCGATGAGTTTTTTGGGTGCATTGTTTCGCTTCCGTGCAGAAATCTGGGGTTGCTGGTCTTTTCTGAAGCTTCCTGAGTTGATCGTACAAGAAAGCCTCAAAATGTCTAGTAAGAAATATTAATTATTTTCTTTTCTGGCAAGAAATATTTTTCAAAACTTAAAAAACAATAACCTGAATGTTAAAGGTTGATCGTATTTCGCCACGCCAAGTGTTGGACCAGACATTCCCGCTTTATGGAAGGCATCCACCTAAAGAAAATTATGTTATTATAACATAATTAATGCAATCAAGTAATAGATAAATAATATAATTATATTTTATAATATTATTTTCCAATATTGTTACTTGTCTTTTAATCAAAACTTGTTCGTTAGCTCTGCCATGGCGTATTTGCAATCTTTTCAATTCCATCAATTGAAAAAATATCTTCCTTTCTAGATGATATCGTCGTAGAGTGATTTGTACATCTCTGGTTACGGTCTCCATGTTAAGAGTTTGCTGTTTATCGGTGTTTGGGCAGCATTTCATAATCCTTCTTCTTGGTATTCTCGATACTCGAGGACTAGGCTCTATACCGCTATCTCTGCCACCGCTGTCGCGACGTTGTTTCCCCTGCAATCGATTGCTTCTACTTTCCTGAGGACTTTGAACTCGTGTCAGACGAGTTCGCATACTAGATACCTAGATAAGAAGAATATTATTTAAACAATAATTTGGAAACAAATGATATGAATATCTCATTATCACATTATATAAACGTAAGTACATATACATATATATATATTTATTCGTACATACATAGCAAAATTTGTGTAAATACAATAATACAAAAATATTAATTTCACAAATGATATAAGAAAGCAAAAAAAATATAAGATTTTTTCTAATCTATTATCTTAAATCTTTCATCTTCATATCATTCTTAAAATTTCTACTCACTTGAGGTAACGAGTCAGTCGCCGAAGTTCTGCAAACTTCGTGGCCAATTCGAGACGTCTCTTCCTCGCTCGTACTTGGCAGCACTCTCACGACACCCATTTCATTATCGTCATCAGGTTCCGTCTCATGCTCCGCGTCCTCACCGATAGCATCTCTGATCTCCTTGTCGATCTCCTCTTCGTCCTCTTCGTCCCATTCCGGACTCTCGATCACCGCAACTATGGCGCTCCTGTCTGGAGAACGCTCTTCTGAACTTTCGAACAAACATTTTCTCACCGACGATCGCCCAGTTTTCCTAATTTTTCCCGTCGACGGTCTCGAGCGTCTATGCGACGATTTCGGAGAGCTCGAGGAACTTTCATCGATATATCGAAAGCTTTCCTCTTCTAAAACCATGTGAAACAACATAAAGACACTCGTGCACCGATTTTAATACTCACCTGTCGCCAGATTGCCCTGGCTAGAATGTTTCTTCACTTTCTTAGTCTCATCTTCCTCCTTTTCAACTTCCAAATTAGATTTCGTCGGAGACAAATCTCGAACGATTTCTCCCTCGTCGGACATCTTTCTTTTCACGGCAATCGATGTGTCCGCGCTTAACGACTTATCCTCAGAATCTTCCACTAACGTAGAGTCTTTGGACGATGAAAACTCGACCGATTTTCTACGAGTTTGTCCCTTTCGATCCGGTGATCCTTTAGTTGACGTTTTTATCAACGTGCTCGACGTTTCTTTCGTTTGTACGTCCGTTTTCTCGCTTTTTTTCCCCACCTCTGATGTTTCTTTTGCAACTTCTTTGTCCATTTTTTCTGTAATTTTCATGGAAACTTTTTTAACGGAGGATTCGCGTTTTTTCGCGGACTCTTTCCTTCTGTAGGTTCCTCCACTCTTTTTAGGACTTTCGTCCGACTTCGAAGACGAGGATTTCGATCTTCTGTCATCGAACGATGGTCTCCTTTTTACGGTTCCAGATTTAGTTTTAGATTTAGTTTTGACTTCCTCCCGTATCGACTTTTTCTCTTCCTCTTCCGACGGTGAAATATCTTCCACAGCTGTTCTCGGCGTGGTCTCCTTTCGTACATCCTTTTGACTGACTGGACTCTCAGATTTGCTCGTCTTTTCGGATTTTTCGTGATCTTTTTCCAAAACGTGTTCAGATACATCCGTTTTCTCACTAGTTTCTTTATCTAGATTCTCGCCAGATTTTTCTTCTGATGACGTTCCATCGGATTTGGAAACGAACTCGCTTCCTTGTTCACGTTCATGCTGCTTCTGAGAATCCAATGCAGGATTTTCAGATTCTGTCGTCTCGTGTGCGTCTAACCTACCTGGAAAGAGGTCTCTGCAGAAAATTGACAGAAAACATTCTTTAATGTAAGGTAGACGCGCATAATTTCGCCAGTGTTTAATAAATCAAGAATTATTGCTATGTGACAATTTTACAATCTTTTGTTTTTATCTCAGATTAATTAAAAAAGTATTTTAAAGCTTGTATTGTAATTTATAATATTCCAGATGCTAGAAAATAATCATTTAATTTTTGAGAAGTTAAATTTATTTTGATATTTCTCAGAAAATGATATCAATCACTTCGTTAAATGAATATTTAGAAATGCTGTAAAAATTAACATCGCGAAATTATGTATATCTACCTCAATGTATATTTAAAATTCTCTATTTAAATTATTCACTAATTATTATTTCGTTTAAAGTTTTACCTTTTTCATTTTCATCTTCCTCTTGATTTCCTTCGATTAAAGAAGTCTCAATTTTTTCCTCATCTTTCAAACCTTCTTTATTTTGATCTGATTTTACATCTTCTTTATTCACATCTCGAACAATGTCCTTTTCATCTTCCTTTTTCCCCTCTTGCTTCGAGTCCTCCTGTTGGATCTTTTCCTGCGCGCCTTGCTGTCTCATTTCTTCCACATCCTTCTTCAAATTGGCAGCTTTTTGCACGAGAATATTGCGCGATTCATCGCTCTGCTCTAAAATATCATCGACTTTGCTCGAACCAGCTTCCCTCGACACGTTCTCCATCTCGATCACCTCTGTTCTTAATCTATCGTCAAACGTGACTTCCTTCGACGTTTCGGCCACGGATTTTGGCGTATCTGGGCCTTGATCTTTGTGGACCATCGCTGTCACGACGACACGTTCAACCGTTTCTTGGCTAGTGCTATCGGTTACGTCCCTTCGATATCGACATTCAATAACATTCTCTCCATTATTCTCTTTATCTTCATCTATCGATGTTCTAGGAGTTTGTCGACTGTGAACCGTGGCCTCTTTCGATTTTTGCTCTTTTTCGAACGAGTGCATCCTATCCGTTGTACTCTCACCATTATCAGACGCTCTTGACCTGTTGGATTTCAATCTTCTTCTGGTGCTTGTATGAGTCTTCGTCAACTTCATCTCTTTCGAACTTTCCCTCGGCGTCTTTGATCTCCTTCCAGATATCACCTTCTCGCATTTCTTCTCCAAAGATTTTCGTACCACCACCACCTCTAGGCTGTCGTCGCTCACGTTTTCATCATCCTCGTCCCCTTTCAAGTTTTCTCCGCTCTCCGTTCCGTTACTCTTATCCAGTTTACTCTCTTCCTTTCGAGAATCAAATTTCTTTTTCGAACCGTCCTCCGATTCTATAGAAGATTCGCTCGAATCGTGTCTGGATTTTGTCGATCGTTTCTTACTTCTTTTTCTTCTCAATTTTTGATCAGTATCATCCTCCTCGTATCTGCAATATTTTCTCAGTTACTTATTCGATTTATATCTCTACAGATATTTAATGAAATAATGAAAGTGAATGAAAGTGTGAAAAAAGAATGAAATAATGAAAGTGAATCAAAAAATGAATAATAGATAATTAGATTATAGATAAAATGGTATATGAAGAAATTCTTTTCATAAAATTTAAAATTTTAATTTCATTGATATTTAAATTTTAGATGTGATCACCGTGCTGATTCGCTACGAGTTCTTCTTTGATGATCTTTTTTCGAGGATCGAACTTCCTCTTCGCTGAAACTGCGGCTATCCTGACGTGCCAATTTCCTCAAATTTCCTCTTCGTCGTGTTCTCTTCTCAATCCACTGCTCCTCGTAATACAATTCCGGAAGTTTATAACTGCGACTTCGTCTACAAGGGCTGCTTTCTGTGTCGGTACTGCTATCCACATGCCTCATTCGTAATTTCTGTGCAAACACTGAAATTATTTCGATAGATATTAAAAATTATGATGAATTTTTATCATATAATATAAAGAATTATTTTATTATATTATTTTTACTCATCACTTACTAGTAATTCTAATTCTATCTAAATTTCTTCCTCCAAATACAAAAATAAAAAATAATATGAACGAGATGGATTTAATATCATATATTATTTCATTATATAGTTTCATTATTTTATAAATGACGCATAATATATCAATTTCAAAATATTTTATATTTAATTTTATTGAATAACATTTATAAGATTAACTATTTGTAAAGAATAAGTAATGAAAAATGGGGATTTAAATTCAAAAGATTTACTTCCCTGTCATTCTCCACTATCAAACTATAGGTTTTAAAGAAATTTTTGTGAATATGTATATACCTAACCTGACCTTTATTCGGTACAGTTTTCTGCATCCTCAGTTTCTGTGCCGTGGTACCACCGTGCATTTGGATCAATTTCGCGCAGTCCCTGTGCCCTCTGTAAAGTGCCGCGTCCAGGGCTGTCATCAAATTGCCTTTGCTTGTTCGAAGCAGGGCATTGATTCGCGCTCCATTGTCCAGAAGGACCTTGCACACGTCTAAATGTCCATGGAGAGCTGCCACGTGCAACGGTGTTTTGCCATCGTGTGTGGCCACGTCCAAAGTGCTTGGACGTTTTTTCGCCAACCACTTGATCAACTCGATTCTACCGGAAGCGACGGCTTCGTGGGCAACACCGGTACCACGTACCGTCCTCGCGTAAAGAGAGCCACCGTGTTGAGCAAGTATCTTCAAAGTCTCCAATTGACCTTTGGCTGCTGCGCAAAGTGCTGGTCTGAAATATTTTCACTCAATTTAGATTTCGTATTCTATATGCATATATTTGTGGAAATGGAAATTTTGCATGGAATTTTTACGTGTATATGATTATTGAAATTTTTTACAGATCAGGAAGAATATTTAAGAAATATTAAAAATATTAGATATAAGTAACATAAAAAAATGAATGGAATTATATATCTGGGATGAATTACGAGTTGCCAATTTATAATCTACCTCAAGTTTTTTTATATATGTATATTCATAATGTTATTTTAATATGAATATTTTATTTTCAGTTGTTCTTAAAAAACTAAGTTAAGTTAAACTGTTAATTTAAAAATTATGTTGGAATTTATTTTAACATTTGAAGTATTTGTATCATTGTTCAACTTTGCCTATGAATAGGCAACATCTACATTGTATCAGAAATGTACATTATTATTGATAATGATAGTCTGTCTATAGCATCTACATGAAATATCTAATATCATATAGCTATATATGGACATTATATATACATGGAAGTCAGTAATAGTGTCAATGTACGTCTTGACCTATGGATTCCAAATTCTATTATTGACATGGTAAAATCAATGTTAGACAT